AAAGGAAGATTATGTTCTTATTGAATTGACAAATAAAAATGTGAATTATGCCTTGGATAAAATTTTTAATTAAAGAAATGATGGAGGGTGAAATCCAAAATCTTACATTTCCTGTCCAGTCTGTTCCTGACTGCAAAAACTTGATAAAATGAACCCAAACACAGAATTGCCTTGAAGGTTGCTTGTATCAGTCAATCTACTTACTTATTATGTTATTCTGATGTTGGCTCATCAAGAAGGTTACTGTTGTGTTGATTACTAAAATATTTATGTATCTAACTAAGTATTTTTCATTCGGTAGTATATTTGTCTTCAGCAGAAGATGCAAGAATTTAAAAATATTTCTGTTTGTTTTTACTGCCAAAATGTGTTAGTAGAAATTTCAAGTCAACAACTATTCACAGTTCTAAAAGAAAGATAAAATTCTTAGAAAAAAGAAGATAGAGAACCTGCCTCCCCTCCTTCAGCTTATATATATATATGTGTGTGTGTGTGTGTGTGTGTGTAATATGTATATATAATATATAAACACAAATGTTTATGTATATATAAAATAAGGTAATTGGATATATAGAAGTAGTATAGAACAGTAGAACATTGTAGAATGAAATGAACTGGCCGTCTCCAGAGTGGTGGTGGTGTTCAGAAGGTGTGGGAGGAAATCAGATCCTCTCTGGGAAGGAACAGCATCTCTGCCTTTACCTTACCCTTAAGATCCTGACTTGGGGCTGGCATTATGGTATAGCAGGTGAAGCTGTTACCTGTGACACTGGCATCCCATACAGGCACCAGTTTACGTCCCAGCTGCTGTGCTTCCGATCCAGCCCTCTGCTAATGGCCTGTTAAAGCAGTAGATGATGGCTTAAGTGTTTGTGCCCCTGCCACTCATGTGGGAGACCTGGATGAAGCTCCTGCTTCTAGCTTCAACCTGACCGAGACCTGGCTATTATGGCCATTTGGAAAGTGAACTAGCGGGTGCAAGATTCTCTCTCTCTCTCTCTCTCTCTCTCTTTCTCCTCCCTTCTCTGTAACTATCTTTCAAGTAAATGAATAAAATATTAAAAGGAAAAGATAGTACAAGATCATCTAAAGCAGAATCCTGACTTTTGTTTAAAAGTTCCCTACATGTTTAATTTCAACAACAGTACATCTGGCAAGGCCAAACCAACATGGGACTTGAACCCAAGGCCTCTGAGTCCAATTACAGTACCTTTTCTGGGCTCTTCTCTTGCACATTCCTTACAATATATGCTGATAAAGACCATGGATCTCCTTTTCTGTCCATGGGAGAATAGGGCACCTTAGCACATTGAGTGAATGCTTGACTCAAGGCCAGTGGAAAAGAGGCTTCCTATAGAACACTGGGAAATATGTCATTATAAAATGTCAGGAGTTGCCAGTACTGGGATGTATGAAGGGTTTTCAGTAAGTTCATGGAAGATACATATTATGAGAAAACTGTACATGGGTTTCAGAATTTTTTTTGCACCAAAAAGAAACTTATTTTTTTAAATCCCTTTTCGATGAGTTTTTTGAAGGACCCCTATGTTATGGACCAGTCTAAATTCAGTTCAAATTTTTACAGCTGTGAAAGGAAGATACTGTTGCCTTCTTAAAGGACAATGGCAGATGGAGAAAGGAGGCAAGGGAGGCCCAGAGACTTGTCTGAGCTGTGTTTGGTCCAGTTAGAAGTAGAGGCTGGGTTGGAAAACAGGCCACTTTGCTCTTGGTCAGTATTGCTGCTCATTTTTCTATTTTGTTTGAAGTTTTATTTTAGAATTAAAATGATTCCACTTAGATTGTCATGTTTTCCATTGCTTTGCTTTTGTTTTTTTAAAATATTTATTTGAAAAGCATAATGACAGAAGGGAGAAAAAGAGAGACAGCAATAGAGGGAGGGAGGAAGAAAGAAAGGAAGGAACAAACGGAGAGAGAGAGGGAGCTCTTCCATCTGCTGGTTCACTCCCCTAATACCCATAATTGCCAGGGCTGGGTCAAGCAGAAACTCCATCCAGGTCTCACCTGGGTGGCAGGGACCCAGTATTTGGGCCATTGTCTTCTACCTTCCCAGAAAGCTGAATTGAAAGCAGAGTAGCTGGGATTTGAACTACCCATATATGAACTACACACACACACACACACACACACACACATATAATTTCAATTCTTTTTTAAAATTTTATTGAAGTTACACAAGTTTCAGGTATTTCATATAGACAGATCTAGGAACATAGTGATAGTTTAGTGGGAATGTAGACATAGGCTATATACAATAATTAAATGGAAAAATTACCATTTCGCCCATATATAGTAAATTTTAAAGTGATCACTATACTATAGTAGTATAACATTCTTAACTATTGGTTGTATTTGGTGAATTGCTTTTTAAGTACAATTTCCTTGAATTACATTCTTAGCTCACTTTATGAAACACAAACTATTTGACTCAATTTTGGGTTAGAGGAATTGAGTCACAGAGCTGTTGAGTAACAGATTTCACAGTCAGCCGACAGCCAGGGGTTCAAATTCTGGGTCTCCTGTTATCCAAGTCAGTATTCCAGCTTGGGTGCTTATTGAGCAACCACTACAAGCACAGTTTATGTGACATCCCGTAGTGCTCAAAGTGGGTATCACGGATGTAATCCACGTTTCTATTCTCCAGTGATTCCAGAGCAAGGATGCTTGGATGCAGTTCTTCGTGGCATTTCCCTAGCTTATGCACAACCTGGACGCTCTCCCAAGCATGGGGGAAGGCCTCACACTGAGAAATCCCATTCTCTCTAAACCAGGCCAAAGAAAAAGAGTGTTGCAGGCCCTATCTCTCATCAGGTGTTCTCCCAGGCTGGCGTGGCACACTCGAGCTGCAGGCCCTGGCATGCTGGCTGAGAGTGCTGAAAAGACCTGGCCCTGAGGCTGGTTACAGGTGCATTGCTAGAGTGCTCAGGATGATACTGCTTTACACATGAGAAGGACCAGAGTAACCTTGGATGATCGACGTGGACAGAGCAACATGATGCCAAGAGATCTCGCAGTTCTCTTCCCTGAATCTCTCAATTTTAAAACAGGTTTTCTCCTTTCCCTCAGCCAGCCTCAAATTAGAAGTTGGAGATCAAGAAGACTACAGGTGGTGCTCTTTCTGGTCCTTTTAGGGGGAACTTGATGTTGTTCCATTTGATCTGAGCATGTAAAGATTGAGCTCACATGAATATTTTCTGACTTTTTCCTCTAATATTTTGTTTCACCCTATTCATATAGGAAAGATGGAAGAGAATACTTTTTATTTTCCTTCCTCCTATTTGCTTTACTTGTTTAAAATATACATATTACAGCATCCTAAGAGAGAAAATCTGAAGCAGCCTTTTATTTATCCTATCTGTAATAAAATTGCATGTGTGATCTTTGGACATTTAAATTCAGGGGTACTTATTAAAATGTAGCCTGCACTTCATTAACTTCTGTTTTTGTTTTTAATCTCCTTCTTCACTTTCTTTGTCTCTTTCATTCTGCCAGTATTTTCTTGCTTTTTTTTTTTTTCAGGTGTCTACATCTCCTGACAATGATTTCTTTTCCAGTCTTCTTTTTGTATGCCCTTTGTATAGCTTTCTTCATTTTCTTTTCTTGCAAATACCTCTTTATAACCTAAAATCTGACTGATCTCATTTCCCCTTGTCTTTCTTCCTTTCTTCTTTAATTACATAAATTTTGAATTAGAATTATGTGAATTCTTGTAAATTTATAATCCAGTCCCTAGATTTAACTGTTATGATCATAAAATTCAAGGTAACTACTTACATGTGCAAATTTAAAAAAAAAATTTAAAATTTCAACTGACAACTAATATGATATTGAGTTCAAATTTGAGAAAAAGGAAAAATAGTAATAATCCTAGCAGCTTCTATCTTTTTAATAATCGATTAGAAAATTTGCAAAATTCTACAAAAGCCTGAATTTTGTCTATCTATTTGTATAGGGGAAATCATTTTTTCTTCAATTGATTTTAGTTTTTCAACAGAGAGTGGGATTTGGGGGATGGAAATATGAGGCAGGAGAGAAAAATACACTTGTGAGCTGTCTTGCTAATTGCCAGTATACTGATGGAGATAAAAGAGTTTTTGTTTGTTTGTTTGAGGGTTGAGGTGTGTTAAAAAGATTACCACCTATTCTTATAGTCTCAGTTCAAACTCCATGTCTTCTTGAATACATTTTGCAACATTGTGTAGACACTTCTATTTTCTGTACAATTAATTTACCAATTAATTATGTACTGTTTTAGCATCTGTCTTAAAATGGTTAATTCAGTCTTTGGAATGTGATTTAACGTTTTCCAGGAGTGTGGCTTGCCTTGTAAATTAGACTAACAATGCCTGGGAGTCTAGGATTATTTCTTATAGACTCTAATTTTCTCTTAGAAAACCTAGATTGGTTGTTGCCAAATTTGTTAACTGGGTGAAGGAATGACTTATGTGGCAAAGAGGTGACAGGAGGGGTCAAGTGATTGGGGAGAGGAATGGAATGCAGAGGCTGCATGAGGAAGGGTTTAACTGGGTGGGCAGGTATGAAGATCCTGCAGGGGGTGTGAACAGCATTACTTAGTTTCTCTTATTAGGAGGTTTATAAACTTCAGGAGATTTCCTTTCAGAAGTGCATTTAAATTGGAAGGAAATGTACAGTAGTGTGTCAGTTTGGGTTTGTATGATGGGCCTGTGGGTGACCTTGTTATATTTCCATATCCATAAATATTCAAATATTTTACTTTTAGGTATTGGATTTAATGACCATGAATGACATTTTAAAAATTCAGGAAAAATTTAGTTCTAAAATGTTAACAATGTTATTTTGGCCAAATGAATTAATGACATTTGAAATAATAAAAATGCAATGTTGAAAATTTTAAATGTGCTTAAAGAGCATATATATAATAATGTTTGAAAGAAAATGTACCTTTGAAATTCATCTGCAACATACCAAAATGCCTCTCTAATTTTCTATTTTGATAATAGGACATCTCCAAGTTTACAGAGAAAGACAATACAGTTCTTGGAGAAGGTGGAATTACTCTGAGTGGAGGTCAACGAGCAAGAATTTCTTTAGCAAGGTGAGTATCTGATTATTGGTCTACCAAGCATTTGCTGTAACTATCATGCATGTGAAAATTATAGACATTTCTCTATTGCTGTGGTATCTGTTTCCAGAATTTTAAAAATTCTTGGAGTTTTATGGTCAGTGGGTTGAGAATCACTTTTAAGAACCATAGAGAATGATACAGTATTCAGGTTTGGTAAATATGATGGCTTTTCAAAAACACATTACCCTTATTTTGATATGTATATACTATATACTTGCCTTCCTTATGCTGCGGTTTATGACAAACAGAAAACCTAGGGATTCTACATAGAATAAGGAAAGGCAAGATGTAAATTTCTGTGAATTCCATCACTCACCTCTACCCTCTACAATGTACTTATCTGCTTGGGGCTTATGTTTATGCTTCTTGGTTTATACAAACATACATTATCCAAATTTTCACTATAATTAATTCTATGATTAAATGGCAAGGCACATGATATCAATTAGCTTAAAGTCTGTAGTCTATAAAGTAAAATAAATAAGACAAGCACATCTGACATTATGGGGCTAAGAGATTTGTTGGTCAAGACATTCTTGTTCCAAGCATTGAGAAACTGTCAGAGAAGTAGAGATCGTTAACCTGTGTCAAGAGAAAGGTATGTCGTTAATCTGTAACTTTTAGTGAAAAAAAAAATATTGGTCATGTGGGATGTCAAATATTTCTGAAGTGTTGTTGGAACAAAATTCTTCTCATTGTGTTGCCATAGTTGTAAAGAAGAAATCACATGTATTGATGTTTTGGCTCTTTTTCCTTCTAACTCCTACTTCCAAATTGCTAGACAGGAATCTAATGGAGTACCTACAGTTGCTTTGTATTATTCTGGTGTGTGTGTGTGTGTGTGTGAGAGAGAGAGAGAGAGAGAGAGAGAGAGAGAGAACAGAAGTAAGAACTGATGGAGGAGGAAGACTTTGAGGGTATAATTTATGGGCTACATTAGCTCTTGTCTGTCTTCAAAAACAATTTATACTACAAAAATTCTTTTAGATTTCACTTTGGTTTTTTGCCACATGTGCTTTTTTGTGACTTCTCTTAACCATGTGCTGGTTGATGACAGTTTTCTTCTTATAAAAGGATCAAGAATTACCTATATAGATGTGTATAAATTAACTATATAATATAGGTAGTTTTGAAAATTTTTAAAGATTTATTTTATTTATTTGAAAGACAGAGTTACAGAGAGAGGTAGAGACAGAGAGAGAGGTCTTCCATCTGCTGGTTCACTCTCCAGATGGCCACAACGTCCGGAACTGTGCCAATCCGAAGCCAGGAGCCAGGAGCTCCTGCAGGGGCCCAAGGACATGGGCCATCTTCTACTGCTTTCCCAGGCCACAGCAGAGAGCTGGATTGGAAGAGGAGCAGCCGAGACTAGAACCAGCGCTTCAGGCCAGGGCTTTAACCTGCTGTGCCACAGCGCCAGCCCCTAAATAAGTAGTTAAGATGGAGTCAGATTATTAATAATCACACCCAAAAATTTGAAAGGTTATGAAGAAATCATCATATTTACATTCATGTGGGATCTATATCTTCATTCTATTACTGTTCTAAGATCAATTCAATAGCGATTTTATTTTTAACTTATAAAGTAAAACAATATGAGTATAAATCCATACTCCCCTTACTTGGAACTTTATGAATATGATGTTGAGATTATAAGGAGCAAAATACAGTATCAATTATATAGCCATGACAGAGCCACTATCCATTTTTATGTAAATTAATACTTTGAGAAACATTTAGAAGATAATTTTCGGGAATAAGTAGTTAGCCTAGAAGTTTAGCATCCACATCCCACATCAGAGTGCCTGAGTTTGATCCCCAGCTATGGTTGCTGACAGTAGCTTCCCACTGTAGAAGACTGAGAGACAGTGGTGATGGCTCCAGTAGTTGGGTTCCTGCCACCCGTGAGAGACCTGGATTGCATTCCTAGGCCAGCCCTGACCCAGCCCTGGCCACTACAAGTATTTGGGGAGTGAACCAACAAATGGAAACTCTCTCTCTCTCTCTCCCTGCTTGTTAATTTTTTTAATTTAATAAGGAATTTAACATAAGTGCTACAATTTATTTGCTGAAATTTTACAGTTAGAAATACTGTTTTTTGTTTTCCCACCTAAATTCAAGATTTTTCAAGGCGGAGACGAATGTTTGCCATTATAGTGCCAGCACATAGCATGTGCTTGGCTCCAAATAGATAGTATTGTTAAGAGAATTTTTAAGGTATTATTTTAAATTTTATCATATAGGACAATCCAATGTGTGACTTTTGATAGCTTATGCTGCTTACAATTAGCACAATCACTTTAATGGTTCTTGGAGTGTTGCGAAAAGCCACAAAGCCGTGGGTGCCACAGCTCACTTGGCTAATCCTCCGCCTGCAGCGGTTCTAGTCCCGGTTGGGGTGCCAGATTCTGTCCCAGTTGCTCCTCTTCCAGTGCAGCTCTCTGCTGTGGCCCGGGAAGGTAGTGGAGGATGGCCCAAGTGCTTGGGCCCTGCACCCGCATGGGAGACCAGGAGGAAGCACCTGATTCCTGGCTTCGGATCGGCGCACGTAGCAGCCATTTGGGGGTGAACCAACGGAAGGAAGACTTTTCTCTTTGTCTCTCTCTCTTTCTCACTGTCTAAATCTGCCTGTCCCCCCCCCCAAAAAAAAGAAAAAGGAAAAAGAAAACAAAAAGGCCACAAAGCCATCTGTATCTTGTCTCTCCATTTCTCATTTCAAGTCATCTACACCATGAAAGTCACATACGTGAAAGATGTTTCTAACAATACTGTTTATGCGTTGTGTTGACAACGGTGTTATTTCAGTGAGTGAATGTGGTGACCACACTGAAGTGAATGTAGTTACTGTTTAAAAAAGAAATGCATCCATACTGAATGACATGGGATACATGGAGGAAAGCTAATTCAATTTGTGTTTTCATTTTAGAGCAGTATACAAAGATGCTGATTTGTACCTATTGGACTCTCCTTTTGGATATCTAGATGTCTTAACAGAAAAAGAAATATTTGAGAGGTATGTTTTTGAATTTATTTACTTATAATGCTCATGACAAAAGAAGGAATGACTATGCCATAGTAGCCTGCATTATTACTTCTTGAGAAATACGTCCACCATTATTTAGACTGTGTGGCAGCAAATAGCATGGCACCTACTCAAATCTAAGCTCACTGTCATGGCCAAGGTTGAAGGTACTGTCCATGAACACCTTATGCTTTACCAACTTCTTCCACTGCTGTACTGTTATATAACAAACTCTTATCTATGTAGTTGTTAAACTAGTATTGTCTCATTACACGTCTTGTATTATTTAGATTGGTTATTATACTTAAAATGTTTGCTTCCTCTTTTGTGTGTGTTAGTATGTTATTCTGTCTCCTTCTTGGAGACCGAACTTCTGAAGGAACCACACTGGCTGAATGGTTTAATGTTCACTGTTGGTAAATGTTCAGACCAATCATTTACCCCAAAACCTCCTGGGAGACCTCCTCCTCAGTCACACCAAACTTAACATCTGCATTTTCTTGGAGTTCCATGAGGGTTCAATGTCTGTGAAGTTCCTAAGAGGAACAGTTGTTTATATGACTCGATTTCAAAGTTGGAAAATGATTTCACGGAACATAAAGTCATTTATTAAGAGAGAAGTCATTATACTCTTGTATAAATAAAGATTTTAAGCAATGAGAATGTATATGCCTGTGTGTATAAAATGACTGCATTATTTCTAGAAGTACTTTTTCTAAAATTTTTGCTTCTAGAAGAAAATGTTTATTAGTAGGGGGTCAGCTTTTTATATGCAATTCTGTTATTGTTGTTAACTAATCATACTAATTTTAAGGTAAGATCTTGAGAACTAAATTAGTGGTGAACCTAAAATTTAAAAGGAAATTAAAGGAAAATGTAAAGAACAAGAAAGTTCTGACATGTTAGGTGATATGTGAAATAGAGACCTCCAGGGACCTTAATGATAACCTCATAATTCCCTCATTTTCTAGGTAAATAATATAAGACACAGAGGATAAATGATTTGCTTGGTCAAAATTTTACGTGATCTCAGAACAGTAGTTTCATTCTAGAGCTAACATACAACTTTATAATGCGGTATGCTAGTTCATGCAGTAATTATTAAAGGGGCACTCAATTAATTACTATAGAATGTTTACCACAGAGGATGAATCATTTTAAGAGCAATAATAAAATGGAATGATAATGATTTTATACAAACACAAATAAAATGCTAACATAAAATACATGTATTATTTATAATGAAATACTTATGAAATTGAGATTTTCTATCTTTTTATATTCTTAAAGCTGTGTCTGTAAATTGATGGCCAACAAAACTAGAATTTTGGTCACTTCTAAAATGGAACATTTAAAGAAAGCTGACAAAATATTAATTTTACATGAAGGCAGCAGCTATTTTTATGGTACTTTTTCTGAACTCCAAAGTCTACGGCCGGATTTTAGCTCAAAGCTCATGGGATATGATTCTTTTGACCAGTTTAGTGCAGAAAGAAGAAATTCAATCCTAACTGAGACCTTACGGCGTTTCTCATTAGAAGGAGATGCTAGCATCTCCTGGAATGATACCAGAAAACAATCTTTTAAACAGAATGGAGAGTTGGGGGAAAAACGGAAGAACTCTATTCTCAATCCAGTCAACTCTATGAGAAAATTTTCTATTGTACCAAAAACTCCTTTACAAATGAATGGCATTGAAGAAGATTCGGACGCATCCATAGAGCGGAGGCTGTCCTTGGTTCCAGATTCAGAACAGGGAGAGGCGATTCTACCTCGAAGCAACATGATCAACACTGGCCCCATGCTGCAGGGCTGCAGGAGGCAGTCGGTTCTGAACCTGATGACACACTCGGTCAGCCAAGGTCCCAGCATTTACAGAAGGACAACCACATCCGCACGAAAAATGTCTCTGGCCCCTCAGACAAACTTGACTGAAATGGACATATATTCAAGACGGTTATCTCAAGAAAGTGGCTTGGAAATTAGTGAAGAGATTAATGAAGAAGACTTAAAGGTATGTATAAAGTATTAGTATAAAGTATTCCCCCAATAGGATGCAGTTGAGTGGATTGTAGTATGTGATATATAGCAAAACTTACTCAGATAATTAGATTAAGATGAAGTTTATTATGAGATTTTGGAAAGTCTAAAGTCTGTAAATTATGTAAGTAGCTTCAAAATTTAAAACAATTAGCTATTTCTTTTCCTTAAAATATATTTTAAATCAGAGTAAGGGTGTGCTAGTGGATCTTTTAATGTGAAAATCATCTCTATACATTGGGAAGCAGCTGCTTTAATACCACCTTGCACTCTTGTCAGATGAGGTAGAGTAAAAATAAATCTGTAAACAAATATTAGCTTCGGTTATTTAAAGAGCAGTCTCTCAATATATCTGTGCAGAGGTGGCCTACATGCATGTGATGTAAGTAAGCATGTAATCTCTAGACAGGACCAATTCACTTTCTAGCTTATTCATCAGTGTTGCCTGAGTTTAGTTAGTGTGGGCTTTTTGATCTTTCTAATTTGGTTTATACATTGGGTTTCTGAAAAGATTTCTTTTAGAGTATGTGAAACCCTACATCTACAAATGCTAATCTTTAGATAAAAGTACTGCTTTGAGAAATGGAATGCTTTTATTCTTAAAACAGGAAGCAATATACAAGAGGAGGGTTTTTGTTACTGTTGTTTTTTACTTGGAAAATTAAGTGCCTTTAGTGAAATCAACACAGACAGAGTTGTAATGAATCGCTATGTGTAATAGCATAGATTATCTAAGAGTACTGTGCCCTTTGGCAAGTTGTGAGTCATTTGACATCTCTTGACCAACATTTCCTTCTTTGTAAAATGAAAAAAGAACAAAAGATGATCCCTAAAATACATACTTTCAGTATTCCTGTCATCTGTATGGTTTAATATCAATCTAAATGGATTTCACAAACCTGAGTCTATAAATTTGTTGTAAGAGTGATCCTTTGATTAAAATAGTTTCTATTTAGTTTTTTTTTAATTTTGTTTAATTGGTGACTGTCAATTTTCTTTTCTTTCTTTTTTTTTTTTTAAGATGTATTTATTTATTTGAAAATCAAAGTTACACACAGAGAGAAGGAGAGGCAGAGAGAAAGAGGTCTTCCATCTGCTGGTTCACTCCCCAATTGGCCACAATGGCCAGAGCTGCACCGATCCAAAGCCAGGAGTCAGGATCTTCTCGATCTCCCGTGCAGGTGCAGGGGCTCAAGGACTTGGGCCATCTTCTACTGCTTTCCCAGGCATAGCAGAGAACTGGATTGAAGTGGAGCTGCAGGGACTCAAACCAGCACCTGTATGGGATGCTGGCACTGCAGATGGCAGCTTTACCCATTATGCCACAGTGCCGGCCCCAAGATAGTTTCTGTTTCATAGATTGATTTCTATCCCAAGTGGGATAATCTTAGTCCCTATGACTATCCTAAGGTGTCTATCATCATCCTCATTTACAGATGAGTAAACTAAAGTTCAGAGAATTCCAGTCATCTACCTGGATTGAAGTAGTTTCTGGGATGTCAGTGATAGACTTAGATTCAAATTTAGGCCTCTTTGTCTCCAAAACCTGATTCCTGGACACATGCAACCTACACACCCTTCTACATAATTCTCATGCTTCCTCTATGAATTTGGTTGACTTATTGAAAAACACAACTATCTTTCCCTTTGGACTATCCAAAATCTTTTTTGCTCCCTAAACTTTTGTATGATATTTGCCAAATTGCACATGAAGACTTCTAGGATAATAGGATTAGAATTATGTAATTTAAGTCACAGCCAGGAATCCTAGGCTACTGAGGAATGTGCAAATAGTAGTTGGTTTTCAATCTTTGGAAGATCTCTTCAGCTAGCAAAATTCCAAACTCTGCTTGCCTCTGAACCCCCAAAGAAACAAATTAAATCAAGGGGAGCTCCAGGGAACTTCGTCTTAGTGGTATCATTCTAGGAAGCATTATAATAGTAAAATTGTCCAACAATAATACACTGATGGAACTAATGATATACTTTTAGAGTTTTGGAAAACTCTGGTGTTTCTTTCAAAGAGCTGTATTGCTCCTGTGGACATTATACTGGTTATGGGGTGACATCACATATTGCATTCATAATGGTTTATATTTGTTAAAATTTGCTTAGCTTCAAATAGTGTTATTTTATTTTCACACATTCAAAATCAAACAGCAGTGGTGGGTGGTGGTATGAAATGAGATTATCTCATTGTAATAGCTGTGATTTTTTTTTCAGGAATGCTTTATTGATGATGTGGACAGCATACCTACAGTGACCACATGGAATACATACCTTCGGTATATTACTGTCCACAGGAGCTTGATTTTTGTGCTAATTTGGTGCATAGTTATTTTTCTAGCTGAGGTAAGAATATCATGTTGTAAGAATATTACTGTGATTGCAAGTTAAATTAAGAGCACACATGTGTACAGACATATAAATGTGTATATGTACACATACATGTGACTGTATGTAAGCTTATAGTATATAATGACGTGGTTTAAAAAATACCTCTTAGCTTTTAGAAAGCAACAAATGGAATAGTTAATGATAATTTATTATTTAATCATAGCATATAAAAAAGTTTAAATAGAATTAATACATACGAAGAGGTTTTTTTAGAAAATAGATTTTCTTATGTGTATATTTTTGAATTTTAAAAATTTATTGACCAGCGTCTCAGCTCACTAGGCTAATCCTCTGCCTGTGGCGCCGGGTTCTAGTCCCGGTTGGGGCACCATATTCTCTCCCAGTTGCTCCTCTTCCAGTCCAGCTCTCTGCTGTGGCCCAGGAAGGCAGTGGAGGATGGCCCAAGTGCTTGGGCCCTGCACCCGCATGGGAGACCAGGAGAAGCACATGGCTCCTGGCTTCGGATCGGCGCAACACGCTGGCCGTGGTAGCCATTTGGGGGGTGAACCAACGGAAGGAAGGTCTTTCTCTCTGTCTCTCTCTCTCTCACTGTCTAATTCTGCCTGTCAAAAAAAAAAAAAAAAGACAATTTATTTAAAAGGCAGAGAGAGAGAGAGAGAGAGAGAGAGAGAGAGAAAGAGAGATCTGCTGGCTCACAACAAAGGCTGGAGCAAGCTGAAGCCAGAAGCCCAGAGCCCAGTTTGGATCTCCCATGTGGGTGGCAGGGATCCAAGTACTTGAGCCATCATGTGCTGCCTCCCAAGGTGTACATTGGCAGGAAGTTGGATTGAACGCAATGGAGCTGGTACTTCAGTGTTACTCAGAAATGGATTAAGCAGCAGCTTAACCCACTGTGCTGCAATACCCATTCCAACTATGTATGTTTGAGGTCTATCATATAATATGATATACCTTGAATACCTATAAGCATATGGTAAAATGTTACTATAGTGAAATAAAGTTTCATATCTATCATCTTAACATAGTTACCAAATTTGTGTGTGTGTGTGATAAGAGCAGCTAAAATCTACTCATTAATATGAATCCTATATACCTTACAATTTTATTGCCTATAATCCTCATATTACACATTAGATCTCTAGCTATGAGCAGTTTTTGATATACTGATTCAAAATTTTGAAACAGAAGGCATTTGTATGGATTGAAATTAAACACTGAGAATAATTTTTGCTAAATTTTAAATATAACTGACTAGCTATTGCATTATTTAATAGGCAGATAGTGACTCTTCAAATGAGTGTTTCTTCACAAAATGAGATAAATATATGTTAGGGGCTTAGGAAATATTTGAAACAACACTTTCAGAGATTCAAATCTGCTACTTGAGGCTAGCACTTGGCTCTGTTGTTGAGCTGTTGATTGGGACGTCTCTGTACCATTTCACATTGCCTAGGTTCAGTGCACTTTGTGGCTTCTGATTTCAGCTTCCTGCTGATGGAGACTCTAGGACCCAGCAGTGATGGTTTGAGTACTTGGGTCTCTGCTACCCACTTGAGAGCCCTGGATTTTGTTTGTAGCTTTCATCTTTGGCCTGGCCCAGTCCTGGCTGTTGCAGGCATTTGGGGAGTGAACCAGCCTATAGGAGCATGGTCACTTTTGGCCTCTCTCTCAAAAAAAAAAAAAAAAAAAAAATCACCCACGTGCTTACAGAAATGTTGTTTTCAGTGGCATCTGCATGGGTTCTCTGCCTTGCCTTTGCTGTCCTTCACCTTGTCAGGTGGGAAAAAACCAAGTGGAATGCAAATAGCACAGAACACTGTAAGTTCAATTCCACATGAACTCAAAAGGTTCCTGAAACTGGGTGGTGGATGGAGCTGGCTAAGGGACCTGGCAGGGTAGAGCAGTGAGTGAAATGGCTGAAGCTGAGAGGAGAGCATTTGCTCCTGCTTGTCCAGAGGGAACCACTGCAGCTCAGCACCAGTCGAGGACTTGCCATGAGTGAATCTGGGTTCAGTTTTGACAGATCTTCTTATTTATCAAGGTAGGACAGAAATCCACATTTTTTTTGGTAAATTTTCCCATTTTCAATTGTGGGTGATTGGTTAAGCAAAAACCAGCAAATGATCACAATGTAGACACAACTAAAACCATCTGTGGGCTGGATTCAGCCTGTGAATAATAATTCCAGGTATCTGTTCCAGGGGACACCTTGGGTGTGTCCCAATATAGAGTCTAAATGTAACCTAATATCCCATGATGTCTCCAGGAAAGAAATGACAGAGGTGAGGAACCGCTTCTTCTGAAACAAATAGAAGTGGACAAATAACCAAAGCCCATAGTCGGAACTATACACTTTTCCTACTGTTAGGTAGTTTCTAACCTCAATTAAGAAGGCTCATAAAGTCTCATCACTCCTCCATAATCATGTAAGATGGTGTTCAGTATCTAAAGGTATTAGCAGAAAATTTAACATATTACTGCACCAAATAACTGCTGGTTTCCATTTGGCCCTTGAGATTTCATTATATCTTTTCTTTTGCCATGTTGTCTTAAATTAACAAGCCAAATGGAGGCTTAGTGCAAGATGCAGGGCAGTAGGGTGCTCACTCTGAAACTAGCCTGCCCTGGGTGTGAGTTCAACTCTGTCTTATTAACACTGTGAAGCTGAGCAAGTTGATTAATCTGACACTCAATTTCTTCCTCCAAACAATGGAGATTGTAATAGTACCAGCTTCATAGGCCATTTTCTTGGTAAAGAGACATCAAGGTAATTAAGTACTTTGTGCAGGGCTTGGTATACAGTAAGTAAAGCTAGCTTCAGCTATCATAAATATGCTTAATTCCATATAATTAACCCTACAGCTGTAGGTAGTTTAAGGTGAACAAGTCCATAACAGTGATATGATGAACATTTTAATGATTCGTTTTATACTTTTACGAAACTTTGAGGTTGGGTAATTTGACACACTCTTGTATGAGTAATAATATTGCATTGAAATGTATTTCACATTTACCTCATTAATCTTTTCCATTCATGCCAAATGACTAACATTAATGAGAATGAAACAGCCTATGCCCCATTTAATCTCAACCAACCCTTCGTAATTGTGAATCCTTTGACCCTGAACGTGGAAAGATAAAATTACTTGATTATCTTTATGTAGAAAAAAAGGGTCTTAATGTGGCAGTGATTTATAATAATTTATAGCATGGTTATCTCATGCAACTCTGAAAAATTGAAATTAGGCATCTTTCAGCATGGTGTATAATTCATTAATTAATGTGTTGAGTTGCTGTACATGTGTACATTATTAGCTCAATCAAGAAGTCAATGGTCTTTGTCATCAGGCAAGAAACTAAATTACAGCAGCAGATGTTAATGCTGTTTAATGATCCATTATTAGTTGAACTCGCAATTATTGTAAAAATTATCTTTTTAATAGTCAAAATAACTGATAATGCCATCTTCAGGCCAGAAATAATCTGATATATTAAGAGCCTTTTGGCCAGTGTCCTAGAGGCATTGCCAATTAACTGGCATGAAAAATTCTAAACAACAAAACCTTGATAGTAAAAGAAATATAGTAATTTAAAAAATTATATGCACAGTTATGCAGCTAAATCATTCATGAGTGTTCATAATTCTGTTGCCTTCTTTGAATCAAACTTTATATATATTTTTTTCTTTTAGACTATGCTCCTTAGTAAAATGTGTCCATTTCTCATTACCTTTGAAATATATCATTGGTATTTGACATCATGGGACAGGTGCTAATTCAGGATGAGAGTTTAATTCCTTTGAAGCCCATTTAGAGCCTCATACTAGTGATCACAGAACCTAAAGAAAGATTAAGATATATTTCTTTCTCCATGATAGTGATTTATCTATTTTTAGTTTTAATAATGGTCACATTTCAATTTTTATATTTATGTTTTACAGAATAAGTCCAATATCTTTCCTTTTGCAATATGAAATAGGCCATTCTTTGGGGCTTGGTATTGTAGTGTGGCTGGTTAAGTCACCGCCTTTTATACTGACATCCCATCTGAGTACCTGTTTGAGTCCAGGCTGCTCCACTTCTGATCCAGCTCCCTGCTAATGCACCTAGGAAAGCAGCATAAGATGGCCTAATTCCTTGGGCCCTGCCCCTATGTGGGAGATCCCTACAAAACTCCTGGCTCCTGGCTTGGGCCTGGCTCAACCCCAGCTATTGTGGCCACTTGGGAAATGAACCAGCAGATAGAAGATCTGTGTCTCTCTCTCTTTGTAATTCTGCCTTTCAAATAAATAAATAAATCATTTTTAAAAATAGCCTTTTCTTCAAAGCTGCTAAACTGAAAAAATAAATTACTCTGTCTGGTTTATTCACTTATCATTAGTGTGTCATTTTGAGAAAGGAGCTAGTCTCTCATTATACTTTTGTACCATTTTATCTGTTATAAAGGAATATCCTATGAGATACTATCACTAAGCAAGTGGAATGTGACATTTCTGTTATGTTGGTCTTTCTAGTGTACCTGCTAGCCAGTACATCACTGACTAGATAACAAAGGAACGCAAATAATAGATTAGGAGACATTTCCCTAGTTTTTTTTGTAACTGATTTTGATTGGTGTATCTGAAGTCTGTTTGTTAGTGAGGAACCCCTGTGTGACTTTATACCATTGGTAAACTGGGGTTGTAGTTTACTCTTATAACATCACTGCTATTCCTGAATGATAGTAATACTTTTAAGGTGGCTTTACTTAACCACTGGTCTGTGTGTTTTTGGACCATAATTTGACCTGGAAATCATTTTGCTATCTGTGTTAAGTATACTATGGACTATGTGATGTGGAATGCCATTTAAAACTGTGAGGAAATGAAAAGTTAAGATCTTACTTCTTTTCCACTGAATATTCTAGGATTGTCACTTAATCACAAATTGTATGAACTTTGTATCCACAAAGCATTTTGGAAATGAAATGATAGAACTTACTTACTCAATTGTTTCTATCTACCTCAAATATTTTTAATATAGCTGTTACGTCAAGTCCTTAAAAATGTTTTTGTTCCAGTCATTCCATGTGGATTGAGTCAGAGAACCACTGTATATTATGATGACTAACCCAGTTCTTTAGAAAACTGCTTTGGTTATTTGTTCTACTAGTAAAGATTATAAAATAGACATTTCTAAGCTTTACTCACATTAAGCAAATTTTGGGAATGACAACATTATTGACACTCTTACAATGAGAACAAAAGGGGAATATAATAACCAGAGTGGGGTCTGGTGCTATGTTCAGCAGGTTAAGCCACTGTCTGCAACAGCAGCATCCCATATGGATGTGAGTTTGCATCCCAGCTGCTCCACTTCTGATCCAGCTTCTTATTAATGTGCCTGGGAAAGCAGTGGAAGATGGCCCAAGTCCTTGGGCACTGCACCCGTGTGGGAGACCCAGAAGAATCTTCTGGCTCCCAGCTTTGGCCTGACCCAGCCCTGGCCATTGTGGTCATTTGGAGAGTGAACTGGTAGATGAAAAATTTCTCTCTCTCTGTAACTCTGACTTTCAAATAAAATAAATAAATCTTAAAAAAAAAAAACCTCATGAAAAAACAAAAGTGACTCAGACGTATACCCTTATATAGGATCTTGAGTACTTTGATACTTCTTAAGAAATTGAAAGACATTTATACTCAAACAAAGAGGTTATTGCTTGGTTTCTTGTCATTTTGAATTTACTTAAATTTTAAGGAAACCAGGATAGTTTTTACTGAGACAATACGGGGAAGCTATGAGTATAATGATGAAAATATAATTAAAACCATTGTACTTATATCTGAATATATATGTGAATCTGAGTATATATAAATTCACTTATATGTCAACTAAAACTTACACACCCTTTTAAAATACAATACTTCAGAATGCAGTTTCTTAATTAATGCTAAATGTTCTCCATGTTTTTGATATGATACTCTTAAATACTTAAATTCAAATATGAAATAAGACATGTAGATATCTTATTTCAAGTACACTTGCTTCTTTCCTATTTACTTTTATTCTGTATGTTCATTTCCAAAATTATTTTACTCACAATGCCTTATTTTTCTCTTTCATTCCCTGGTTAAAATTATTGCTGGGCTAATTATTTAATTTAAGGGCCATTTCTAGTATCACAACTGTGATGGTACCAACACAAAATTAAATTTGTCCACAAGATTTATAATAAGGAATGCTGAATTGGATTAGAACAGAGTACAGATGATTTAAATGTCAAAGAGCTACAAAAATCATAGTTGTTAAAATTTTTTTTGTTTGTTTAGATATAATTATAGGGCCGGCGCTGTGGCTCACTAGGCTAATCTTCCGTCTGCAGCGCCAGCACCCAGGGGTTCTAGTCTTAATTGGGGCACCGGTTCTGTCCTGGTTGCTCCTCTTCCGGTGCAGCTCTCTGCTGTGGCCCAGGAAGGTAGTGGAGGATGGCCCAAGTGCTTGGGCCCTGCACCCGCATGGGAGACCAGGAGAAGCACATGGCTCCTGGCTTCGGATCAGTGCAGCGTGCTGGCCGTAGCGGCCATTTGGGGGTGAACCAACGGAAGGAAGACCTTTCTTTCTGTCTGTCTCTCTCTCACTAACTCTGCCTGCCCCCCCCCAAGATATAATTATAGAACATTTAATCTTTAGCCAAATATTTCCACCTGGAGAAGACCCTCTGCCTTAAGTAATTCTAGTGCCAAAAATGTATATTTTAACCTGAATATACCTTATCTTTACTCATAAGCTGTGAGGTTGCTCAGCGTTTAAAACTTTAATTGACTTTCACAAATATTAATCTCACCTTTTCTCAGAGGTATTAATCTTCCATGAGCATTGCCTGGCAAATGAAATTATTTATGGCAAGAATAGAGGTTAATTATCTGCCAGCAGGCTCTTTGTTTCTTTATTTTAAAAAACCCCTTATTTTAAAATTTAAACAGCTGTACTTGTAGCTTTCCTATGAGGGTCAATGAATAGGCTCTATTGAATGAAGGAAAAGATCCGTGAAATGTTTACTTCAGTGAAAACTGAATTCCATCAACTGAATGTGTTCTCACCACAAGTAGTGGTGCTTGGAACAATGACTGTAGCTGCTGGATTGAAGGAAAAAATGAAACTGTGTCCTTTGATGTTGTTTATGGTAAATTTAGAGGTGGGTGTTGGAGGAATAGGAAAAAATGTTAGAAGAAAATAACTGTGTTGTTCCATTCCAGGTGGCTGCCTCCTTGGTTGTGTTGTGGCTATTTGGAAAGTGAGTATTCCCTGCATTGTTATGGATTGTGTTTATTTCCATTTATTTTTTTGTCTTGTAAAATATTGTAATATTCACTATTTTTCATCTCCCTCCAGTATTGTGGTAGTGGAAAAACGAGTTATGGTCCTTCCACTATATCCATGTGGGTTTGGTCTCAGGGACTCCCCTGCAGATGTCAAGAAATCCATAGATGCTAAAGTTCCTTGTATAAGATGGCATAGTATTTGCATGTAACTTGTGTAAATCTTCCATGTACTTTAAATCGCCTTTAAACCACTTTAAGTGCATAATACAATGTTAATGCTATGTAACTATCTGTTACATTATATTGCTTAGAGAAGAATGAAAAAAAAGAAGTTTGTACTTGTCCAACACAAAAACATTTGTCCATATGTTGATCTGTAGCTGGATTCATGGATGTGGAACATGTGGATGGGGAGGGCCAACTGTATTTGGTTTCAGTCATGAGCATTACAGCACCCAGGTGTGTTCTTTTTCCATAAGATGCAATAAGAATATTTGAAACAACATTAAACATTTAGTATTACCTCTCAGTATTTTGATTAGTAATGCTCAATCATATCTGTTTCAATGCTGAGAAAACTTAACCTACTTTGTAGGAATAGTGAATTCCTGATAATACGGGCACAAGCTCTGCTCTTACAATGGTTATGTTTCTTTGGGCTTAAGTTTAGTTTCATTCACATGTATTGGGAAGTTAGTAGGCAATTCAGGTTGCCAAATAACAATTTCCCTTTTGCTTTCCAGCACTGCTCCTCAAGACAAAGAGAATAGTACAAAAAGTGGGAACAGCAGCTATGCTGTGATTATCACCAACACCAGCTCTTACTACTTTTTTTACATTTATGTGGGAGTAGCCGACACCTTGCTTGCATTGGGATTATTCAGAGGTTTGCCACTGGTGCATACTCTAATCACAGTGTCGAAAATTTTACACCACAAAATGTTACATTCTGTTCTTCAGGCGCCCATGTCAACACTCAACACATTGAAAGCAGGTACTTGACTAAGAATGTGAAATGACACTGGTGATCTGCCATCAGCAGGACCTGTGTATAGTTGGTCACTTAGTAGTCTTTTAGTTTTTATGCAGGCGCGTTTGTCCTTTTTCAGCCTCCTTATGAGTGAATATGCATTTCTCAGATATTGCAGTCCACACCGTGTGATGTCCTGTTTCTTCCAGTCCTGGCCCACCTAATCAGAGTAACTCCAGTTGTTAGAATGTGATGCTGATGGGGCGGTAGTGGCAGAGGCAGGCTCTTCTGGGTCAACTGTCCTTCTCCTTTCAGATATTTACTCTAGCTCTCATCCAGGCATCTGTTACCTGGGTTTAGTATTGCTCAAAGAGGAGGAGATTTGAAGGGATCGAAGGAAGTATGATGTTCTCCTTCTGATAATGGAGTAGAATAATCTAGCTTCATGTGAACGTTCAAAGATGGTTCTATAGATTTGTTGCAGTATTTTGGGGAGAGGAATGTATTTTGGAAACCCCAAATACATTTTAATATCATTTTTGTTGCTACCATATTTAAAGTCACAGAAAGAGTAGTAACCAAAAATTAAAACAAAACAAAACAAGATAAAACTTTAGGGTAATAGAGTATTTTGAGAAGCATCAATTCCATTGATATCCACTTATATAAATTCACATTAAGAACTCTGAAATTAGTCAGGATTCCCACTCTCCTCCTCTGCCCCAGGGTTTTTTCCCTTATAGAGATCTGTTTTACAGTGATTCATATCTAAGAATCTCAAGATAAGAAATACCCATGCTTCTTTCTAAATCACGAAATTCCAGTGTTAAAATGTGGGAAGGTGTTTGTCTTTATTCAGAAGCCCCAAATGGCACCAAAGCCTTGCCTTAGGTGGATGTACTTGTCATCGCCCTCTGTTTCAGTCTAAGGATTGTAGGCCCAACAGTAGGTCCAATTAAATGGATCCAACTATTTCAGTTTCATAGAGGGATGAGATCCAGGGAGAGCAGGGGATTTTCCTGAGTTTCTGGAGGAGTTAGACATGGACCATGAGACACACTGGAAAGAACATGCTCATTGCCGGAAATGTGGCTCGGCCCAGTAAGATAGGTGATAATGGGCAGGTTGCTCCTTGAAGCCCTGGCCTTACTTGACCAGTGTTAAAAAGAATAATTATCTTTGAGAGAATGGAACAAGACAATTTACTTGCCTGTTAACAGCAAACAGGAACTAGATGTTGGTGTCCCATAGTTTCCCTTCTGTAGGGGTGCATTTTGCATTCCACCTCTTTACTTTTCCCAGCCTCTCATTCCATTCAAAACTGTTTCTTTATTTCAGTTTATCATCGATGATTTAATTTTCTTCATTCATCTTACTTCCCAAACTTCCATTTGCCTTCAGGATGACTCCTAAATATGTCTGTGTCATTCTTAGTCTCCTCATTTATGGACCTGAGAACCGAGATAGCAAGATGATCTTAAAACATTACTTGTCCTTTCCCTACCCCTACTTGTCCCCTCCATTTCTGTATGCAAGCATCATGCTTGCTGTGGAAACTATCAGCATTACTATTCATGGTTCATTGTGCTCTTTGTGTTGCCCAGATACCACCCACTGTACTTAGCTGCAAACAAGGCCTCCTTGCTTGTGTGTGTATTTGTAATTTCTCCCAGGAGTGCCCTTTTGCATTTGTACATTGATCCTGATTTTCTCTGACTCCTTGAAAGATTTTACCATGTTGCTTTTAAATGACCGTAAGCCACACAAATACATCATAGGCATTCAGCAAAATACACTGACTAGATGAAAGTGTGAATGCCTATTTTGAAAAAAACTCTAGCACTGGAAATATAAGCACCACATTGATATTCTTTTCCACCAAAGCACACTTTCATTTTCTAAACATAAGTAAAAACCGTGGGTTAATTTTTGGCTTATTTATGGAAACTTATACAAATACGTTGAAAAACATATTCATCAATGAATATTCGTAAATTACTACCTACCAGGCATTTTCCTGGAAATCTGGGTAATGCAAAATAAATGTGGCATTATCCCCTTAGACCTCTAGTAATTTAAAATCTAGAAAAAAAAGAGAAGTGCACAAGTGGCTATACTATATGACATACATATAGTCACTATATGTAATGCAGAGGTGTAGATAAAATGTGTTAAGTGTGTGAAGAAGAGGAAGAGATTAATTCCAGCTGGAGCAAATACTGATCCTTCCTTGCAGGAGGAATATTTGAGTTGGGTAAGGGAAGAGATACAGATGTTGACCAATAGAGATGAGGAGGAAAGACAGAGGTAACCATGTTGGCCAAAGTAGGGAGGTATGAAGGTGTAGAGTAGGTTTAAAAATATGGACCACTCTGGCTGAAGTGGGCTATTTGGGTCTGGGAAGCTTATACTAGTTAGCTGGGCTTAGGCCACATATAGAAAACATTAAATATTAAACTAAGAATTTTGGACTTTATCCTGCAGTTTATGGGGGTTGAATGATAAGTCTCAATGTCACTTTGTATGGTATTATGTTACATTTAATCTAACTGTAAGTTTAATTTCTGTAGACAATGCATTCCTCAAGGGGAAGGAGCCTGGCTTATTCCCCTGTGTTATCTCTACACTTGGTGTTGTGCTTGGCAAATGGCTGATGCTACTTATATACCTTTTTGCCAGTGAAGCCACAAATGATCAGACTTATAAATATGCATCTGGAATGTAGAAGACCGGCTGAGGCTGGATTGCCAGAGAAGAAGGTTCCGTGGAAAGAGAGAAAGTGACAAAGAGATCCATGTAATGAGCAGGAGGGAGAGGGCAGCCATGGATTCTGCAGGGTGTGTCAGAAAGATATGGTCAGAGGAGAGCCCTATGTTACAGAATATGGACAGAAGGGAGATGATGATCGGATATCCAGTGAACTATCATTAACTCAAAGTTGCAAGACTGAGGTTGTAATATTAGGATGAGTATCCACTCCTGACATCTCTTATAATAAGGGTTCTATTAAGGCCGGCGCCGCGCTCAATAGGCTAATCTTCCGCCTGCGGCGTTGGCACACCGGGTTCTAGTCCTGGTCGGGGCGCCGGATTCTGTCCCAGTTGCCCCTCTTCCAGGTCAGCTCTCTGCTGTGGCCCGGGAGTGCAGTGAAGGATGGCCCAAGTGCTTGGGCCCTGCACCCCATGGGAGACCAGGAGAACCACCTGGCTCCTGCCTTTGGATCAGCGCGGTGTGCCGGCTGCGGTGGCCATTGGAGGGTGAACCAATGGCAAAAGGAAGACCTTTCTCTCTGTCTCTCTCTCTTACTGTCCACTTTGCCTGTCAAAAAAAAAAAAAAAAAAAGGGTTCTATTAAAGGCATTGGTTTTTATCTGAGTCACAGAAATCTATGTTTTCCAAAGGTTTAAAAGTAAGAGACAGTAAAGTGAATACATAGTTACTTAGAATCATTAGATAACACTGAGATTTTTGGTCTGTATATGATTATGTGATAATTCTTATTTGAGTTTCTGTTTTGCTCCAAACTCAGTATTAAACATATTGGTATATCTTTTTAATATTATTTGTTTTTGAGGAATTTATCTTCCTTTGCATTATAGGTGGGATTCTTAATAGATTCTCCAAGGATATAGCCATTCTGGATGATCTGCTGCCTCTTACCATATTTGACTTCATCCAGGTTTGTAAAAATAACCATTGTTAAGTATCCTTGTATTTTTACTATTTTTTAAAAATTACAAAAATAAATGAGTTTACCATAATTATCTTTTGAGAGTTGAAGTCCAAGCTATTGTATGAATTTTGTGAATTTTGAAAGTCTTCAAAATAGGTGTAAATTTAGTAAATTCAGGAGTAAGTCAGAACTGTCTATCTGACCCAAATCCAAGATAACCCTACCTTTAGAAGAAATGACTGTCTATTCGGAATCAATTTGAAAGGCATAAAAGACCATAAAAGATATTCTTCCCCCAAATCATGGGCTGTAAAGTATGACAGTTTTAACATTGGCAACACGATTTGATAGAAGGCCCCTTACCTCCACAGGCCTGTGTTGAATGAAGACAGACTCCCTGCGTGGGCTACCGTCATGCCTGGACACTTTGGCATAGATCAGCTAGCCAGTCCTCCCACCATAGGACCCTAAAGCAGGGGGAGATAGGAAGATATGTTTTCAAATAGAGTAGAAAGGAAAGACAAGCTCTTGATTCTCCCAGGCTGGTCGTGAGCTGTCCCTGAGTGACTGCTGTGAATAGACCTCTATGGTGTCTTGAATGTGAGGCTGGCTCTCTAACGTGGGGTGACTGACTGCTGGGAAAAGTGGAGATGAAAGTGACCTTGGGGATACCGCATTACAACAGCACAAGTGACAGACCTCAGGACAGCTGTGAGTTGATAACCTGGACGGTTGAACGAGGTTTGAGCATAGCTTCCTGAGCGACTTGTCTGATTTAAGTCAAGCTCCCAGGAGCAAACACCACAGCCCCAATGATCCCTTTGGAAAAGCAGTTGGAACAGAGTGCTGCCCATTAGAATGAGTCATGCTCCTCTTGTCACCGCCCCACTCCTCCAAAATAATAATTCTGCACTTGAGGAAACCTCTAAGATGAAAGTAGGGGCTCCACATATGTGTGTGTATACAGCCAACACTGGCAGATGCAGAAAAACCAGACTGTTGGTGCCTCATCTGAAATGACTGACACAACCAAGTATACTTACTGCTCCGGTGAACTTTTGCCTTTGGGTGTCCTTCAGTTGTTCTGTTTACAGATGTAACTCAGCAGCAGCTACTGCAATGCTTTCATCCGTGTTTTGAGGTCATACATTTGAAGGAGTTTCCTGTATCTTTCCTTAAATGCTGGACATTTGTTCTTCATTCTAGGCTGACAAATGACTGGTACCAATCACAATATTATTAAATTACATTCACACTGCAGTGTAAACATCTTTTTTTATAGCAGATTATCTTGATGATTATTTTTAAAAATATTTTGTTTATTTACTTGAAAGTCAGAGTTACACAAAGAGAGAATGAGAGGCAGAGAAAAGGAAAGGTCTTCCATCCACTGGTTCACTCCCTAATTGGCCACAATGGCCAGAACTGCACCAATCAAAAGCCATGAGCCAGGAGCTTCTTCCGGGTCTCCCACACAAGTGCATGGGCCCAAGGACTTGGACCATATTGCCCTGCTTTCTCAGGCCATGACAGAGAGCTGGATCAGAAGTGCAGCAGCCAGGACTCAAATAGGCCATCCTATATAGGTCATCCTATATGGGTATATAGGATGCCGGCACTGCAGGAGGCGGCTTTACCTGCTATGCCACAGCGCCAGCCCTAGTGTAAACATCTTGACCTTGATTGTAAAAATGTTCATGAATTGATGTCCCTTGGTGATTATTTTTATACTTTTGTGATGCACTGAGAATCTTCTGCATTAATTTCAAGTTCATAAATCCCTGAGAGAGTTAAATATTTTTATTTTATTCTTTTTTAAAGATTTATTATTTTATGTGACAGGCAGAGTTACAGAGAGAGAGAAAGAGAAGTAGAGAGACAGAAAGAGAGGTATTTTCCATCCACTGGTTCAGTCCCCAAATGGCCTAAATGGCCAGGGCTAGGCTGGGCCAGATGGAAACCAGGAGCTTCATTCTGGTCTCCCATGTGGGTACAGGGGCCCAAGCACTTGGGTCATCTTTCACTGCTTTCCCAGGTGTATTTGCAAGGAGCTGGATTGGAAGTAGAGGTTCTGGGACTCAAACCAGCACCGATATGGGATGCTGGCATTGCAGGCTATAGCTTAACCCATGGTGCCACAATGTTAGCTCCTAAATATTTATGTTCTAAATTAACCCTTTTTGACATATGTAATGGCTTTCAAATCCTTTCTTTTATGATAATTTGAATAGTTTCTGCTCAACTTGTAATGCTGTTAACTTCAGGTGTTGTTGCCTTACATATGGGTAGGTAGAACTCCATTTATCCATTTTATTTTCTTGTATAAAGGTGTCTAATATTCAGAAGCAGAAACATGACAATGCAAAACATAGTATAAATCCAATTCATTTTGCCTTTGTTAAGTAATTGATCACAGGGAATCCTTCAAATTGTGAACTCCTCTGGTTATACTTAGTTTGGACTTCTATACTGTGTTTGGACTTCCATCTAATCTATTATGAATTAAAAACTAGAGCAGAATTTCATGTTTCTTTGTATAATTGAGGTATCAAATATTTTAAACCAGAGCCTTTAATTTTTCTAAATTATTAGGCTGTGATGTGGGTTCCTAAAAGATCCTCTTATGGAGCAAGTGCTTGCTTTTCTCAAGACTGAGAAGAAGTGATTCTTGAGAACAAGTTTTACTATTAAGTCTCATGATACAACTCTTTGTGGACAGAGGTTCTGCATGGAAAGTTAGTGCACAGTGACTCTTGTTGCTTATTTAACAAATAACACTTTATGTAAGACATCAGTGGTCACCCAAGACTCTTGACATGAGCTTCCTTGGCCATGAAAGCCTTTTGGATCCACTAGCTAGACAAGGCCATAAGCAAAGGGGAAGTTCTGTCCTCCCTTCAGAAATAAGTACCTCCTTCTTTTGTGGCCATTGGGGTATCACCCACAGGGGTCCTTTATATAGAACATTTTTTTTCCAATATGTCTTAGCTTTCCATGCCTGAAATGCTCCCCCTGGGCTTTCCAGCCTGACTGGAATGCCTTAAGGGCTGATTCTGAGGTCAGAGTGCTACTTAAAGTGATTGTCATTCTATGGCTGCTATATGGAGTGCTCCCCATGTTGGAGCCTTCACTCCTTTTTGATTCTGTCTATTATTGTTTCCAAACACTTAGTTCAATTTATGCAATCACTTAACTCTTCATCATATCTATACCGTCACTTTACAACTTATTCCTATATATTTGATCTCTATAACACTTAAGCTGCTGCTTTTATCAGCTAGCTTATGGGATTTTAGGGTCTTATGGCTAGTTGTTAAGTCATACACTTAGAGGTAAGTCTGTATGAGTGTATGTAGAACTATACTGCTTTGTTGAAAACTTCATACATTTGACAATTACAGTTTTATGATCTTGATGATTCTTCCCACTGTGCCCACCATTCCTCCCTCACTCCTACCCCTCATCCTCTTTTCTTTCTTATTGTCACTCTTATTCTTTACTAAGATTTATTTTTAATTGACTTTACACATATGATTAACTCTATGTTAAGTATAGCATTCAGTGAATCTTATGGAACATAAAAAGATAAGGAAAATATTATAAAGGAAAAGATAAAAATATAGAATAAGAAGCTGTTCCTCAACAGTCAAGAGAAGGGCTGTTCATAATCATTGCTTCTCAAAGCATCAATTTCATTTCTACATGTTGTCTTTTAGGTGCTCTATTAGTTATTACATGTCAGGGAGAACATATAGAATTTGTTCCTTTAGGACTGGTTTATTTCACTAAGTATGATGTTTTCTGTTTCATCCATTTTGTTGCAAATGACCAGACCTTTTTGACTGCTGTGTAGTATTCCATGGTGTACATATCCCATAATTTCTTTATCCAGTCTTCAGTTGATGGGCATTTGGGTTGGTTCCATGTCTTCGCTATTGTTAATTGAGCTGTGATAAACATGGAAGTGCATATAGATCTTTCATATGCTGAACTCATTCCCCTTGGGTAGATTCCCTGGAGTGGGCTGAATGGGTCACATGGTGGGTCTATATTCAGATTTCTGAGGTATCTCAATACTGTCTTCCATAGTGGCTTTACCAGTTTACATTCCTACAAACGGTGGATTAGGGTACCCTTTCCCCCATATCCTCGCCAGCGTTTATTTTTTATTGATTTCTGTATGAAAGCCATCCTATCAAGGGTGAGGTGAAAACTCATGTGGTTTTGATCTGCATTTCTCTGACAGATAATGATCCTGAGCATTTTCTCATGTGTCTGTCAGGAATTTAGATTTTCTCTTTTAAAAAATTTCTAAGTACTTTGCCCATTTATTAACTGGATTGTTTGTTTGTTGTTGTTAAGTTTATTGATCTCTTTATATATTCTGGTTATTAATCCTTATCAGTTGTATAGTTTGAAAATATTTTTTCCCATTCTGTCGGTTGTCTCTTCACTTTGCTGATTGTTTCTTTTGTAGTACAGAAGCATCTCAATTTGTTGTAATCCCATTTATCAATTTTGGCTTTGATTGCCTGTGTCTCTGGTGTCTTTTTCAAGAACTCTTTGTCTATGCTGATGTCTTATATGTTTTCCCCAGTGTTCTCTAATAATTTGATGGTGTCAGGTTATAGATTTAGGGCTTTAGTCAATTTTGAGTGGATTTTGGTGAAAGGTGTCAAGTAAAGGTCTTGCTTCATGATTGTGCATGTGGCGGTCCATTTTACCAGCATCATTTGTTGAAGAGACTGTCCTTGCTTGAGGGGTTGATTTCAGCTCCTCTGTCAAAGATAAGTTGGTTGTAGATGCTTGGATTGATTTCAGGCATTTCTTTTGTGTTCCATTGGTCATCTCTTTTTGTACCAGTACCAGGCTCTTTTGATTATAACTACCCTGTAGTATGTCTTGAAGTCTGGTATTGTTATGCCTCCGGCATTGTTTTTGTTATGTAAGATTGCTTTAGCTATTCAGGGTCTCCTGTGTTTCCATATGAATTTCAACATCATTTTTTCTGTATCTGAGAAGAATGTCTTTGGTATTTATATTAGTATCACACTTAATTTGTAAATTGCTTTCAGTAGTATGGACATTTTGATGATATTTACTCTCCTAATCCATGAACGTGCAAGATTTTTCCATTTTTTTTGTATCTTCCTCTCTTTCTTTGTAATTCTCATCATAGAGATCGTTGACATCCTTAGTTAAATTTAATCTAAGATATTTTATTTTTATTTTTTGGTAGCTATTTGTGAATGGGATTGATCTTAGAAGGTTGTTCTCTTTCTCTCTGTCTCTCTCTCTCACTGTCCACTCTGCCTGTCAAAAAATAAAAATAAAATAAAATAAAATAAAATAAAATGAAGCTTGTTCTCAGCTGTGGCATTGGCTGCATATACAAAGGCTTTTGATTTTTGTGTGTTGATTTTATATCCTGCTACATTTCCAAACTCTTCTATGAGTTCCAATAGCTTCTTAATGGAATCTTTTGGATCCCCTATATATAGGATCATGTCATCTGCAAATAGGGCTAGTTTGAGTTCCTCTTTCCCAAGTTGTACCTCTTTGATTTCTTTTCTTGTCTAATGGCTCTGGCTAGATCTTCCACGACTATATTGAAAAGCAGTGGTGAGAGTGGGCATCTTGTCTGGTTCCGGATCTCAGTGGTATTGCTTCCAATTTTTCCCCATTCAATATGATATTGGCCATGGGTTTGTCATTAATTGCCTTGATTGTGTTGAGAAATGTTCCATCTATTCCCAATTTGCTTAAAGTTTTCATAATGAAAGGTTGTTGTATTTTATCAATTGCTTTCTCTGCATCTATTGAGATAAGCATTTGGTTTTTGTTCTTAATTTCTTAATATGATGTATCACATTCATTGATTTGTGAATGTTGAACCATCCTTGTATACTGTAAATAAATCTCACTTGATCCAGGTGGATGATCTATTTGATGTGTTTTTGGATTTGTTTGGCTAGTATTTTGTTGAGGATTTTTGTGTCTATGTTCAAGAGATTGGTGTGTAATTCTCTTTCTCTGTTGCAGCTTTTTCAGGTTTAAGAATTAAGGTGATGCTGGCTTCATAGAAAGAATTTGGGAGGAGTCCCTCCCTTTTGATTGTTTTGAATAGCTTCAGAAGATTTGGAGTTAGTTTTCCTTTAAATGTTTGGTAGAATTCAGCAGTGAAGCCATCCAGTCCTGGGCTTTTCTTTGTTGGGAGAGTTTTTATTACTTATTTGAGTTCTGTCTTGGTTATTGTTCTGTTTAGGTTTTCTGTGTCTTCATGACTCAAATTAGGTAGGTCATATGTACCCAGGAATCTATCTCCCAAGAAATGACCCTGTAATATGGGATGCTGATCTTGCAAGAGGCAACTTAACTTACTGTACCACAACTCTGGCTCCGAATGCCTGACGAAAAAAAATCTAAATGAAACACATACTAAAGTTCATTCAAAGTAAAAGTATTTCAGGGAGGCCAGTGCTGTAATATAGTGGGTAAATCTGCCTCCTGAAATGCCTGCATCCCATGTGGGTGCTGATTTGCCCTGGCTGCTCTATTTCTGATCCAGCTCCCTGCTAATGTGCCTGGGAAAGCAACAGAGGATGACCCAAGTGTAATTACTTTATCCAACTGAAATCTATGGGCACAATTTAATTTTTAAAATTTTGATTTTCATTTTTATATAGACAGAACTACTGGTGGAGTTAAATACATCTTTAGGCTATTTTTCTTTGGTTAAGTCATCATCTTTAGAAATTGCACTTCTTTAGATACCCATGTGGGAAGAAGCACCTAGCTCCTAGCTTCAATCTGGCTCAGCTTTGGTCATTGCAGGCATTTTGGGAGTGAACAAGCAGTTGGAAGATATCCCTCTCTGTCTCCCTCCCTCTCACTCTGTAACTCTGGCTTTCAAATAAAAATAAAATATTAGAAATTTCAATTAATTTATATTTTAGGAGAATCAGCTCAGAGCATTCATATTCATTTAAAATGTATTTGTCATTCAACTCTTTAAAGTGGCTGGAAAATAAGAATACCCCATGATCAAAAAACATCATGTTTTCAATCTATAAAAACATTACTATAAGTGACTTAAATAATGTTTTGAACAGTGTCACAGAACCTGTGAAAAGTGTTCTTTGACATTATTGTCTTCCCTAGGAAGACATCTGCCTCTATGAACAGAACAGACTGGTAACATCACTCATGTCACCTTATTTGCTTTGTAATTCCAGCATTTACTAACTTATGTATTTTCTTTGATTCTGCAGTTATTGTTAATTGTGGTTGGAGCCATAGCAGTGGTTTCGGTTTTACAACCTTACATCTTCCTAGCAACAGTTCCAGTGATAGCAGCCTTCATTTTATTGAGAGCGTACTTCCTCCATACCTCACAGCAACTCAAGCAACTGGAATCTGAAGGTATGACACTGAATATGCAGTGATCAGTTTGGGAATAAAAAAGCCATGTGAGCTATTTAAGTATATGTACATAAGAGGAAACTGCATCACAAATTACACATGGATTGTTGTGTCTTTTTTTTTCTTTCTGGAATTAAAAGCTTATTTTGATGTGAACAAAATTTTGAAATCTATTCATAGTGTTTTTTTTTTAAACTTTCCCCAATGAAAACTTTTATTTAAGGAATACAAATTTCATGCGTTTCGTAAGTACAGATTTAGGAATACAGTGATTCTTCCCACCATATCCCCTTCCCACCCTCACTCCCACCCCTCTTCCATTCTCCACTAAGATCCACTTTCAGTTAACTTTATACAGAGGACCAACTCTATACTAAGTAAAGAGTTCAACAATTTGCACACACACACAAAAAAAACACATTAAAAAAAACACTGTTCTTCAACAATCAAGACAAGGGCTGTTCAAAGTCATTGCATATTGAAGATAATTTCACTTATTTTTTAAGAAACTTAATTAACTTTAAAGAAGCACCCAAAGAATGATACATCTTTTGCGAGCACTTAGACATAATTATAATACAACTCTTTGAGGACAGAAGTTAACAATTAACACTTTTATGTATGATGTTATGACCACCTGAGGCTCTTGACATGAGCTGCCTAGGCTTGGAAGGTTTTTGAATCCTCAAACTCCATCAGCATTTAGACAAGGCAATAAGCAAAATGGAAGTTCTCTCCTCCCTTAAGAGAAAAGTACCTCCTTCTTTGATGACCACTTATTTCCTCTGGGAACTCTCTCACAGAGGCCCTTCATGTAGAACATTTTTTGCCACAGTGTCTTGGCTTTCCATGCCTGAAATACTCTTGTGGGCTTTTCAGCTACACCAGAATACCTTAAGGGCTGATTCTGAGGATAGAATGTTATTTAAAGTGATTGTCATTCTGTGAGTCTGCTGTGTGGATTGCTTCCCATGTTGGAGCATTCACTTCCTTTTAATTATATTATTATTACCAGATATTCAATTCTATCCATATGATCACTTTAATACTTAAGATGGTATTTTTACCACCCAGCCTAAGGGGATTTGGGGGTCCCATGACAAGTTTTTAAACTGTTCCCTTAAAAGTAAGTCCATAGGAATGTATGCAGAAATATACAGCTTTAGAGTTACAAACTTCATAGACTTCATAATTACAACCTTAGGAACATGGCGATTCTTTTTGTTAATTAATGACCATGTGGCTCCATTTTGGTTTTAAAACAATTATATATAGAGTTTTACCAGGGTTGGTGTATATGACACTCATTCATAATTTACTTATATCAATTAAATTTTAAAAATTAGAGTGCAGCTATTACCAAAGGTTTCTCTGAGTTCCCTAATTATATTAGAGAAATTTTTCCCTTTTTTCTTGTCTTTATATAGCATTCTTTTGTTTTCAAATATTTTATTTGAGATGTGGAGTTAGAGAGAGAGAGAGAGAGGGAAAGAGAGAGAGGGAAATAGATCTTCCACCCCCTGGTTTACTCTCAGATGGCAGCAATGGCTAGAGCTGGGGTGATCTGAAGCTAGGAGCTAGGGTAGATAGCCTTCTTTTATGTCTTGGGCTCTCATTTTGCGTGCCCCAATCTCTGTTTGAAAAGCATCTTTTTTTCCATAACAGCTTTGGTGGGGATGCATTTTCAGGGAATGAATTTTCTTTCTTTTTTATTTTTTTATTTTTTGCCAGGCAGAGTTAGACAGTGAGAGAAAGAGACAGAGAGAGAGAGTTATAGACAGTGAGAGAGAGACAGAGAGAAAGGTCTTCCTTCCGATGGTTCACCCCCAAAAGGCTGCCATGGCTGGCACGCTGCGCCAATCTGAAGCCAGGAGCTTCCTCCTGGTCTCCCATGCGGGTGCAGGGCCCAAGCACTTGGGCCATCCTCCACTGCCTTCCCGGGCCACAGCAGAGAGCTGGACTGGAAGAGGAGCAACCAGGACTAGTACCTGCCGCCCCAACCGGGACTAGAACCTGGGGTGCTGGTGCCGCAGGTGGAGGATTAGCAAAGTGAGCCGTGGTGCCAGCCAGGGAATGAATTTTCAATATGCTGTGCCTCCAGGATCATCCACTGAATCAATTCCCTTAAACTTTGTTAATTGAGGCACTTAAAAATAGGTCTCGAGAGAAAAGAAATTTGTTTTTCCAGCAGAAATTTATTTGGGATTAATGAAAAAAAGTGATGGCAGCAGAGAAATATGAAAAAATAATAGTAGTAATTTTATAATAAATTCCCATATTTTGTAGGTAAGTAAAAAAAAGGTAACTCCTTAATAAATATAACATAACAAATCATATGTATTCAAAGTATAGCACTGAATGATCAACATCTCTGACCCATAGTAGTTATGGTATTACTGTAAGTTAATCTTGTTCAGGTACTTGCTTATATGGAATTGAATTGTGTGTTTGCATTGTTTTATATGGAACATTTCAGGTAGGAGTCCAATTTTCACTCATCTTGTTACAAGCTTGAAAGGATTATGGACACTTCGTGCCTTTGGACGGCAGCCTTACTTTGAAACTCTGTTCCACAAAGCTCTGAATTTACACACTGCCAACTGGTTCTTGTATCTGTCAACACTACGCTGGTTCCAAATGAGGATAGAAATGATTTTTGTCCTCTTCTTCATTGCCGTAGCCTTCATTTCCATTTTAACAACAGGTACAATGACTTTATTAACTATTCAGCTAAACATTTATAGTGAAAACTCTGTCAGTAAATGAAATACTGTGTTCCTATGGCTTAAACTGTTTTGATATCTTAAAATTTTTTAAATTTGTTATTGAAAGACTTGGATTTTTATTGAAAAAATGATCTCCTGGAATTTCTACTATTTTATTGTTGAACAGATAATTTCTTTGAATTTGAGTTATATATAGTATTATTCATTATTGTACTATTTAAAAAACTGAGCCACACAGAATGTCAATCTGTGATTTAGAGAAAAATGTTGTCTCTTCATGCTTATCTTGCTAAATATCCCTGGCTTCAGAATTGATAGATCTCTATTTTAAAGAGCTCTTTGAATAAGAGGAGGGAAAACATACATTTACACACACAGATACACACAATCCCCTTAGCTGGTAAGTTTTGTTCTTTGAACAAGTAGTTTGTAAAATTCATTATGTAATGGGAACTTTGAAAAAAGAAAAACTGTCTCAAAAGAGAAATAAATAAAATGGCCATACTTTTCCAAATATGAATGTTTTGAATTTCAGAATATTTCAAAAAAGGTAAAATAAAAACCTATGTACGTAGATGAGTTCCCCTAATTTAAGAAGTTGAACGTCTGAGCTATAAGTATTGAAACATGATACCACATGACAATGGACAAAAAGGCAGGATCCATGCCCATTCTGCTGTTTTGCTTGGATTTGAGAACAGATCAAAAGGAGGGTTCAAGGAGACCCAGGACAGGTGCCACCATTGTCATGAGAGAGTCAATCTCAGCTGTTTGTCCCATCTCTTGAGTCCAGATGCTGACCTGGATCTGTTTCATTTTTGAGTCAACTTCATTCATTTTTCTCCCTGAAGTCTGGTTTTCTGGGTGTACCACCACTCTTGCCACATGGACTTTATGTGGCCTTTTCATTCTGGTCCTCTAAATTAACAGGAGAGTTTTTCAGAAAATGGACTCCTTTTGTCTCAGGGAGACGTCCACCTGTAGTCTACTTAGCTGCTGTGAGGATAACAGGTTCATGATGTTCATTCATTGGGAAATGACTTTATGAAAGGAATGTAAAGTCACAAATGACTTTATGAAAGAAACGTCTTTATAGATAGAGAATCTTACATTTTTTGTTATTTGAAACAAATTCAGAGGTCAGAATCATCTGAAAGAAGATTTGTGAGCAATTAATTCAATGAGTTGATGTGTCATGTATTCTAACATAATGCTTAAGAGTAGAATCAAATCCTGATTTGCCAGGGGTCATAGTCAAAACATTTAAAAATCATTATAGTACGGAAACTCCCACTCAAATCAGACGCTCAGTCAATGTGATTGTTGGCTACCCAACTAGTATCATCCTTGGCTCTTCTGGTCTTTAGCTGAATCCTAATTTGTATGTATGAATTAACTTTCCTAAACTCCTCATTTTCCTTATCTGTAAATAGACAAAATAATAGTGCCCAGCCCATAATGTTTGTGGTGAGTATTAAGTACAATCTGTGCAAAAAACTCGGTATAGTGCCTGGTTCGTATTAAATACCCAATAAATGTTATAGTACATGGTATTGAAATTTTATCTTATTCTCATCTTAACCATCAGAACAAGCAATATACTGAATTCTTAGTAGATTTTTACCTATTTAAAATAAATGATTTAGGACAAAGAGCATGTATGTGATGTATGTGCTCTCTATGTTATACCTTCTTTAGGAAACATTTGTGGTTACCAAAATTTCAATTGATAACAGGATGAATTATTTCTCCCAGTTTTAGAACCTTGTAACAATTTTACCATGCAAGATAACTCAAATTTATAAATAATTTAAGAACATTCCTCCTAAAGAATTTTGGAGCCATAATACTGGATATTTATGAGTTTTAATTAGTGGTCCCCCTAGCCCTGAAAAGCCATTTAGTCTGATTCAACACTTAAGTATAGTTCTTCCCAAGTAACTAATCTTTTGTTGGTTTTGTTGTTGTTTTTAACATAATGGGTGATCTTCTCTTTTCAAATGGTAGACCTCTTAGTCTTCTGATTGCCCAATGAGCTCTAAGTCCACTTTCTTTACAGCAGCATGTGATTAGCAGAGAAAATTCTCCTTGAAAAAGTGGGAAGCACATGTATAGATTTTACAGGTGCTTCCCAAATACCCTTTGCTCTTGATCTTGACTAAAGGAGCTCATTTGAACACAGGAATTTTTTTTCTCTCTTGTTTATTCCAGGATCTATCACTATTACTACTTATAGAGTAACAGTATAAAAGATAATTTGATATCTACCCAATATCAACAACCCCTTCAATTGCTGGTTTTTTTTTTTTTTTTTTTTCAAAGAGCAGTTTTTTCCCAATATTCAATCACATGTGTTGAACACCTACTATATGCAGGGCATTATTGCTACTGCTAAGAGGCTTGGTGAACTGAAATGAAAGAAAGATCATTAAAGTTAGTGTACAACTGAAATGTGAATTTAGTATGAAATATGGCATAGAGAGACCTGAATAGACTAGTTCACAGAAGAGAGAAACAACATTTTTTGATATGTCTTTTCCATCTATAGGTGAAGGAGAAGGAAGAGTTGGTATTATTCTAACTTTAGCCATGAATATCATGAGTACGTTGCAGTGGGCTGTGAACTCCAGCATAGATGTAGATAGCTTGGTAAGTCATTATTTTTTTTTAGTTTGGTGAAAAATATAAGAAAAAAAACAAAAAATGTAGATGATGACATAAGGGATAACTATATACCCAATGTATAGCTTAAGCAATAAAATTCTGCAAACTATTGAAGACCACCGTGCACCTTCCATTAAACCCATAGCTCTTTTTTCATCCATATGACTACTATGAAGATCTAATGCTTCAGTGAACAGAAGACTATTCACATGTTTCTCTGCCTAAGACTCTTCTAGGAAAGATACCTAGGAGTACTATTGTTGGTTCATGGAATTGATCCACACTCTATCAGATGTTGCCAAATTGCTTTCAAATCTGTTGTACCAATGTAGACTCCCTTCAAAAGAATCTCGGAATTTTCATAGCTCCATATTGCTGGTAACACTTGATGTTGTGAGACTTTTTAAGTGTGGCAATCTGGTGGAAGGAAAGTGATTACTAAAAAGACAGGTAGCTTGTACATGTTTATTTGCCATTTGGCTTTTCTCTTCTGTTAATGCTTATTCATGTCAATTGCTCATTTTTCAACTAATGTTATTTTTTTGGTAACTGATTTGTAGGAGCTTATAAATTCTGGACCAACTATCAGTTCTGCACAGTTCAAACATAATTCCTCAGTATACTGTCTTTTGATGAACTGAAGCTTTTAAGTTGAATGAATTTAACCTTATTCATGATTTTCTTCATTATTTGTGCTTATTTAAGTTTGTGCTTTGGTAACTTGTTTAATAAGTACTTCTATATAAAAGGGTTTTCAAATTTAGCAGCATAACCTTTTTCATAAATATTACTTTTCATTTTTTAAAAAATTTCTTTTCTTTTTCGCCTTTTTTTTTTTTTTTGACAGGCAGAGTGGACAGTGAGAGAGAGAGACAGAGAGAAAGGTCTTCCTTTGCCGTTGGTTCACCCTCCAATGGCTGCAGCGGCTGGCGCGCTGCGGCCGGCGCACCGCGCTGATCCAATGGTAGGAGCCAGGTACTTCTCCTGGTCTCCCATGGGGTGCAGGGCCCAAGTACTTGGGCTATCCTCCACTGTACTCCCTGGCCACAGCAGAGAGCTGGCCTGGAAGAGGGGCAACCGGGACAGAATCCGGCGCCCCGACAGGGACTAGAACCTGGTGTGCCAGCGCTGCAGGCAGAGGATTAGCCTATTGAGCTGCGGTGCCGGTCAAATTTATTTTCTTATTTTAAAGCCAGAGTTACTGAGTCACAGAGAAAGAGAGGCAGAGAGAGAGAGAGAGAGAGAGAGAGAGAGATTCCATCTGCTAGTGCACTCCCCAGATGGCCACAATGGCCAGGTCTGGGCCAGGCCAAAGCCAGGAGCTTCTTCCAGGTTTCCCACATGGGTGCAGGGGCCCAAGAACTTGGACCATTTTCCACTGCTTTCCCAGGTACATTAGCAGGGATCTGAATCAGAAGTAGAGTAGCCGGGACTTGAAGCAGTACCCATATGGGATGCCAAATTTGCAGGTGGCAGCTTTACCTATGACAGCGCAGTGCTGGCCCTACCTTTTTATTTTACAGTTTTAGAGATGGCACCTTTCTTATTTCTAACATGTCAATTATTTACCTTCTGCCTTTTTGCGTGGTCAATGTTTTACAACATGTGTGTTCTTTATTAATATGTACAAAGACCTTCTTTTGATTCCTTAAAATTCCAGGGACCACAGTGGTATTTATAAGTAAGAGAGAAAAGGAAGCTACACAGATTTTCCAATTTTAATTTAAAAACCAGATGTATAATTTTCAGTCAGACTGTATATTTGATCTGGGTAGAGGTATCATTGACTTTTTTTGGTCTTTCTGGAGAAATGCACTTAAAATCATTCTTCATTCCTAATTACAGCAGTTGTGGAGTCCAGAAACCCAAATTACACTTTGTGCTTAAGTTCCTTTCCCTATTCCCTGAGACCAGTCATCTACTTTCAAAACAAGAACATTATTAAGCTATAAAATTTGTATAATCAATTCCTACCAGAACAAATATCATTATTAAAAACTGTAGGAAAAAAGGTAATTAAAAATATTGTTGCCGGACTGGCGCTGTGACATAGTGGGTAAAGCTGCCACCTGCAGTGCTGGCATCTCATATGGGTGCTGGTTTGAGTCCCGGCTGCTCCACTTCTGATCCAGCTCTCTGCTATGGCCTGGGAAAGCAGTAGATGATTGCCATGTCCTTGGGCCCTTGCACCTGTGTTGGAGACCCAGAGGAAGCTCCTGGCTCCTGGCTTTGGATTGGCCTGGTTCTTGCCGTTGCAGCCATCTGGGGAGTGAACCAGCAGGTGGAAGACACCTCTCTCTCTCTCTCTCTCTCTCTCTCTCTCCCTATCTGTAACTCTGCCATTCAAATAAATAAATAAATATTTAAAAAATTACTGCTGCATGGCTTTTAAAAATTTATTATTTTGTTAAGCAGAGACAGAAAAGCAGAGACAGAGAGAAAGAGAGAGCTCTCATTCATTGATTGCTTCCCCAAATACCCACCATGGCTGAGACTAGACAGTACCAAAGTCAGGAGCTGGGAATTCAGTCCAGGACTCACATGTGGGTGGCAGGAACTCAACTACTTGAGACATCACCTGCTGTCTCCCAGGGTCTACAGTGATAAAAGACCTGAGTATTGAACCCATGTACTTTTATGTGGGAAGTCAGTGTCCTCATCAGCATCTTTCTCCCCTCTCTCCCTCCCCAAAATTTCCTTTCAATCTTCTTTCCTATGTGTCTTTGTATTTTTATTTAAAAGTACTGTAATAATTCATTGTAATATAATTGAGCCTCAACATGATGTGAGTAGAGTTTCTTTTCCTTTAATATTATTCTTTTTAGTTTTACCAGCTCTTTTCGGTATCTCCACATTTTTCTTCACTTAGTTTGATTCCAGTATGCTTTTGGAGTTGGGTCTTATAAATGTAAGTAGAACTGTTTCTGTTAGAAAGTAGCAGAATATTCAATTAATATTGTGCTTACATTTGTTGAATTCTTTGTTAAACTTTCTAAAACTTCGACAAAACATTTTAAAATTCTCATGCACTATACTTCTTGATCTAAAAACATCTCTTCACGTTATTTCTGAACAGTTCCTTTATCTTTGTCATATTAATTGCTTGGTTTCTGTGGTAGCCTCTACACATTGATGTCATATGTTTAGTTGGTGTATTTCCATTCTGCATGTCCAATCTCCATGAGAATTTCTGTAAGGTATTTTCACTTCCATTTTTCACATGGGCATCCAAGGCTTTGTAATCTGTGTTTTGACCTTGTGTCTTTCATCTGTGGCATAAGAATCTTTGCAAGGACCTATTATGTTCTTACACAGTCTATGAAAAGTGTCAATATTTGCCCTTGATCTCATTTTAAAAAGTCATGTTCTTTTGTTTGAATATCAAAGTGAATATGTGGGTATTTGTTTTCCTGCCAGATAGCCTTTCCTGGGCATTTGTGGCCATTTATCTCGTTGTTAATTCCCATCATACTGCTGTCACCTGTGCAGTTGCTCAAATTATATAGGAAGCCTTTTTATTTTCATCTTGGCCTATATTGCAAGTAGTGGATAGGTAGATATAGCTGTGCCCTGGGTTTCATGTGTCTACGGTGATGTTAATATGAAAGGTGTGAAGTGAAAGCTCAGTGTAGTGTTGTTTAACTTTACTAAGCTGTTAACTGAATTTACAGCTCACTATAAAATGGAACACACAGGCTGTTTTATTTCACATACACTCGGAACTCTTTAGTGCAAGGCTACTTAGGAAACTGTTACATCTATCTGTCTAGCCCAACTTAGACATGAGTACGGAGTCAAACTTCCACAGAACTATGAAGTTAGAAAAATGGCAATGTGGTGCTATTTTTTTTAACCTCCAAGTATTGCTTATACCTGGTGTGTATGTTTCTTTAGCATGCAACTAGTAAAAGCAAGATTTGGCTGATAATACTTGCCTGCTCCCCAGAGTCACTTGGTATTTATACATCTCAAATCCTGGCACTTGAGACCATCCAGTAGCCCTTGCATTGCATTTTCCTAATAAATTCCTTATTTTGTTCTCAAAGATAGCTTTCTTCTCAGGTGCTCCAATAGTTCTATTCCCTGCACTTTCAGCCAATGCACTTGATACAGACTTACAGAAAAAAGATAGAAGCAACCAGAGAAAATTCCCCCATTTCTTCCCATCAGAGGTACCAGCCTGCTGCACCTTCACTCAAACTTCCCTCCCTCCCCTCTGTGCCGTTGCTCCTAGGTACAGGCCAATATTATGCAATGTCCCCCTTCTTTGTGGGACTTCTACTGGCATAAAATACTCTACTGTTGTCCCTAGCTACCACCTCGTTTGTCTGACCTATTCACAGTGAAATTTCTTGGAAAAGTGCCTTTCTCCATTTTTTTCCTTCTGCTCTTTACACAGTGTACTTCGTTTCATTCTCATTATGCCCATGATTCAGGACCAACATCTTGACAATGCCAATGTGGATGCCAATGCCAATGCCTGTATCCTTATCTGCCCCAGTTGCTCAGCGATATCTCCTATGGACAAATCCTTCTTGTGATCCTTTCTGTCTAACTTTCATGACATGACTCCCTTCTCATTTTCCTGTTACCTCCATGATTCTTTCTTAGTCTCCTTTGCTGGCCTCTTTCCTCTTGTAGACCTCTAAATGCCAGCCATAATCCAGCCTTCTTTCATCCCCCCTCTTTCTACCTGTTATTACTTAACCCCATGGATCAGAAACCATTTTTTTTGATAAATGATAAATTCGTGTCTCTAGCTTAGACCTTTATCTTGCTCTCTAAACAAGCATCCAGCTGGCATCATGGTACGTTTATATGTTCATAAAACACAAATGTCAAATGTCTTCCAGTAGACTTGACATTTAGAGGATGAGTTCCTTTTCGGTATCCCTGCAAAATATATGCAAGGTCTCTAGAGATCATTAAGATGGGACAAATTTCTTTTTTTTTTTTCTTTTTTTCTTTTTTTTTTTTTTTTGACA